AAACAAAAAAATCCACTGACATCCCAAGATCTATCCAAAAAGAGTATAGATTGTTTTGATTAAACTATTCTAGCATATCTTACCCAGAGTATACAGGACTTATCTCTGGATGGCAATTGTGGTCTTCAGTAAAATTAGCCACCATTTATATAAATATATCCTACGGTACATTTTTTTTTTTGTAGACTTTTCTAACTAGTGCGTGTGTGCATGGTGTGGGTGTGGGTGTGGGTGTGGGTGTGGGTGTGGTTTCTATGACCCAAAAACGAAAGCATGTACTTCAGCCCAACTCGACAGTCAACACCGTGTAAAAGACGCCTGACAGCCCCTTCCAATTTGAAGGGCCGCCTTCGGATAGTTCTCTCTGTGTCTTCACCAAACCAGTGAACAAGGGGGGACAAAAGAAATTTGATTATTTATATACACTTTTAAATAATTTCTTTAATTTATAAAAAAATGTTATATGCAACGCTTGTCATATTTCTCTTTATTAATGTCACTTTACTTTCTTCTTTTTTTCCAGAAGACTTCTTGTTTTAAAGGAGTTTCTCTCAATTAAACAACAAATGGACGCAACTTCTTTTTCTTTCACACCTATTCGGACTGTGTCTGAATTTTGACGTATATGCATATATGTCGGTTCAAAATTATATAATCAGTGGTTGACATTCAAATTTTACCAGTATCAGTTCATCTGCCATTCTATTTCTGAGCAAAAATTGTTGGAAATATTTTTCTTTCTATGTTCTAAGGCAACTTCAAACCTTTCCAGAAAAAGTCGTATTTGATTGAAGGGCATAACTCAAACCCTATTTTTGTTTAAGGTATGTTTCAATTTGAATTTCGGTACAAATTTGATCAAATTTAATCAACATCCGTTTGTTTTTTCAAGGTAAGTTTCAATTTGAATTTTATACCAACCAATTTCCAACTTTTTTTTTTTTAACAAGCCATACAACTTTTGTTTTTACTTTTAGCCTATAATTAGTTCTGTTTTAGGTTGCATTATGTAGAAATAAAAATATCTAGTCAAAACTATGAAGATACTTATCCACCACATCTATCCGTCTCAAAAGCATTAATATTATTAATTGATTTTAAAATTCTATTTTATTTTTTCCCACTTTCTTTTATTATATATGTTAATTAAAATAATTGACATAATTTTATTACTTTTAATTGCAAAATTATTTTTCATACCAATCCTTAAAATTTTGGTTTAAAATTTTTAACCCTATGACACAATACATAAAACATTGTGTCTTCTATATATGTGATTTAGTGAAACTAAAACACAAGTTATAATGAAATTGTAAAAGTTATATCTTTTGGTTAGAACTTATTTAACTTTGATTATAAGAGACGTCACTTTTTTTTTATATATCAAAACAATCTCGAATTGCCTAGAACCTAAAAAATAGATAAATAAATTTGAAAATTAGAACACTGCTTGGAAAGGGATGAACAAGATGATGATGATTGAATATGATGGGTTAGAGAGGATGAGCAAAATCTCTCCATGACAAGCCACTGTGTTCTTATAGGGGAAGCTTGGCAAGGCTTTCCTTTCAAAAACGAGATATGAAATTGATATTGACGCTGCTTAGTGAACAAGGATTCCTATAATTCCATGGCCTTCTGATTTTCAGTGTTTTTAATTCAACTTTAACACAATTTAAAATGATTATTATTATTATTTATTCAAAATGAAAACAGTTTTAACACTCTTTACTATGGAGAGTATTTCTCAACACATTCCTTTCCGTAACATTAATTAATAAAATTAGAGACATAAAATTCAAAATTACCTTAAAGGTAATTTACTCCAAAACAAATAATGTTCTATTTAAAATTTGAGTCAAATTAAATTAAATGGGACAGTTCCAAAATAGAAAATTAAAAGAAGAAATGATAGGTCTTCCGACCTCAATTGCCAACTCCTCCTCTGAATCCAATGTGATTGGATCACGTTGGAACTGAAGAGATATTTACGGGATTTTTTTTAAAAGTTCCACATTGAATTCGAAAAAGGAGTCGGTAATTAAGGTCGGAAGATATATCATTTCTTCATTAAAAAACAACACTTATGAAACAAAATATGACAGAATAAACATAATAATATATAAATAAGTTAGAAACAAAATTTCCAAATATGTTTGTCGTCGAAAACCCACATCTAAACACAAGGAAGAGCAATTTCTACCGTGGGAACAAGAATTTGGAGTTGACACAAAACTATTGGTGATATGTAGGAGTCCTATATCCATTGTTTTTTTTTTTTTTTGGTAAATAACGCCATTGTTGTATTTTAGCATAACATCATTCATTGAGTATAAGTCACCATTAATTTTCTATCTTAGAACATCTGGGATTTTTTTTTTCTTTCTTAGAAACTTCTAAATTCAATTGAGACCTACTATCCTAAATTTTACCTCTTTACAAGCCTACATCCATAAAACCATAAAAAAAATTCCATTAGAGTCCAATGAGGGATTAAAAAGCCGAAGGTAGTTGGATTCAAAACTTGCTGAAATGTCATGTGGTTTATGAAAACATTGATGTGTAACTTTTAATAAAAAAACAACATACATTCAAATTTGTTAAAAAAAAAAAAAAAAAAAAAAAAAATCTCTTTTGAATTTGGAAAATGATTCTGGCATCGAATAGTTGTAGTGAATTGTTCGACCTACTCTTTTAATTGGTCAATTATGTAATAAATAAGGAAATGAAACTCTCCACTTAGTTGTATTTAGTATAAATAGACAATTAAAAATTAGGGTGAACTACATTAAATCTCCTTTTTTCTATCTGTGTTTTTCACTAAACCCCCATTTTCTATTTTTTTTTGTCAAAATACCCCCCTCAACTATTAGAGAGGGGTGATTTAACTAACTTCCGTTAACTAACTATTAGAGGGGGTGATTTAATTCTCAAATATATATATATAGCAAATAAATTTCAAGAAAAAAAAAAAAAAAAAAAAACCTAGATTTATATTGGAAAAAAAAAGGCATAATCTATATAAAATGAAAATCAATAAAAACCAAATAATTGAATGCACAATATAATTCTCAAATATATATATAGCAAATAAATTTCAAGAAAAAAAAAAAACCTAGATTTTTTTCCTAAATAAAAAAAAAAAAACATAGATTTATATTGGTCTGAAGGTTAGATGGAAATGAAAATATATTTAAATAATATTTAATGATACATATTATATATAACATTACATTATGATTCAAATTATATATAATATTATAATGATGGGTAAATAAAAGAAGTTGAACAAGAAGAAGAGTACATGTTGTTGCAATGGTTTTTTTTTTCCAATATAAATTTAGGTTTTTTTTCTTGAAATTTATTTGCTATATATATATATATTTGAGAATTATATTGTGCATTCATTTTTTTGGTTTTTATTGATTTTCATTTTATAAAGATTTATTAAAGGGACACTACCAGAAATAATGCCTATTTTTTTTTTTTTTTTCCAATATAAATCTAGGTTTTTTTTCTTAAAATTTATTTACTATATATATATATATATATATATATATATATATATATTTGAGAATTAAATCATCCCCTCTAATAGTTAGTTAACGGAAGTTAATTAAATCACTCTCCTCTAATAGTTGAGGGGGGTTTTTTGACCAAAAAAATAGAAAATGAAAGTTTAGTGAAAAACACAAATAGAAAAAGGGGGTTTAATGTAATTCACCCTAAAAATTATTCGGTTAGACAATTCACTACAAGTATTCGGTGTGAGTATCACTACTCTTTGAATATTATTACCATTCGATTGAAAACATTGGAATAAATTTATTTTAAAAAATATTTGAAATTTTATTATTATCCTTTTCAAAAATATGAATCACCTATTTTAGAAAAGTTATATACTGAATCAAAATTTCTTGAAAAGTCATATCTCTATATAGCAAGTGTTTTTTTTTTTTTTTTTTTTAATTCCGGATACCTTTTGTTTAAAAATTTATTATAAGTAATACCTTTTTAGATACGTGGTTAGTGAAAGTAAACCTATTTGACATATATATATACACACACACACATATTTATAAATGTGTTGACATACTGATCAACAAAAACATTATTGTAAATATTATTTGTTTTGGTTTAAAGTTAATATTACTAAAACAATTTTAAAAAAATAAATTAAATTAAAAAAATACATAAACATTTCAATGCACATTCATATTTCTAGTGTGTATATATATATATAAATCACTTATGGGAAAAATATTCACATATTTTATATGTGACACTAGCTAATCCACCTCACGACACATATAACACCCCACAAGTTATGTGTATCAGACAAGACTAGAAAAGTTTAGGTTCAACTTGACCTCTGTGAATAACCCTGTAAAAATTGTTTACTCAAAGATTCAAATCTGAAACTACAACTTAATCCATATGAGTACCCCTAAAAAATTTATTTACCCAAAGATTCGAGATCTAGTACTTTCTAAGGTACGGTAGCCGTAATTCTCACCCGCTTAAGCCAACCCATGAGATAATGATATATTCTTTAGTTACTTGACATTAAATGACCATTAGTTTTCTTAAAGGATAAATTCTTTCAACCTAGATAGAATGGTTACTTTTTATTTTTACTTTTTAAAAATGAACATATTTTCTGAAAAATAGTCTCAATTAGGTGATTTTAATATTGTTAATAGCAAGAAAAAAAAAAAAAAAAAGAAAAAAAAAAAGTTAAAAGACTTAAAAAAAAAAATAGAGATAATTGGCTTATATGTATATTATAGAAATAGTAGTAGAAACATCCAAATAAAAAATAAATTACAAATATATATATATATATCAATACACACGCATTTAGAAAGGCTGAATTGGGATGACATTATCCAAAGGAATGGGATATGGTGCTGATGTGGCAACAGTCTATTAGTGGAGAAATTAACACTGCTTTCATGGATTGATCCCCAGCCAGGAAAAGCAAATCCCATTAATCCAAAGCCTCAAATTACTTTGGTTTTGGCTTATTTTTTCATCAGAATCTCACTCCTACAATCTCCGATTTTCTAGAGAGAGAGAGCATAATGGCAAGCTGCAGCATGGCATCTGCTGCCTCTGGCTTTGTGTTAACACCTATTCCTGCTTCCAAAACAAACCCCACTCAGACCAATACCTTATTGTTCTCTCACAAGAACAACCGCAATTCTAGGCTGGTTGTCCGGGCTGAGGAGGGGGCGCCGCCCCCGGCAGCCACCAAGGAAGCTCCTCCTAAGCCACCTCCGATTGGACCCAAAAGAGGGACTACGGTACGTGATTACCGTTCATTAGATTTTTTTAAAAAAAAATTATATACATGTTGCGTTTGATAGAATCAGTTCTGTATTTTAAAATATATAATTGATGAAATGTTATTTAAAAATTGAATTAAAATGATTTACAATTATAATTTTTATTGAAGTGTGAGTTCATGTATTTGTGGTAGAATAAATGTGTAACAAAGGATCCAAACTCGTGGTAACAATATAATTTGACCTGATATTTAAGATATGATTTGTTTTAAATTTTTTTTTTTATCATTTGTTTTTCAAAGGAAATAATCTTTTATTATTTGTTTGTCATCATAAATAGCAAGGAAAAAAGAATAGAATGAAAAACAAGGAAAAATATTTAATTTACAAGCCATTTATTTCTCTTTATTCCACATTATATCTCATTTGAGCATGAGAGAAAATATGAAAAACGTTTTTCTTGGTTCTGTTTTCTGTGATCATGTCTCTTTTTTTGAGAATTGTAAATCAGAAATTTGTACAAAAAAATTATTTATTTTTTGGAAAGTTTTTTAAAACAGTTTTTCATTTTCTAAATTATTGAGAACTGAAACGAAAATTGCAAATAAACATTAAGTCAGGGATTGACATGTTTCTCTTCACAGGTGAAAATTCTTAGGAAGGAGTCCTACTGGTACAAAGGCACAGGTTCAGTTGTAGCTGTTGATCAGGTAATCTCTCTCTCTCTGTGTATAATGTATATATATATGTATGTGTATATATATATGAGTTAATGTTTGATTTATTACACAAAATGCAGGACCCAAAGACTCGTTACCCAGTGGTTGTTCGATTCAACAAAGTGAATTATGCAAATGTATCCACAAACAACTATGCATTGGATGAGATCCAAGAAGTGTGTTGATGAGTTAATGTGTGTCTCCTTGTTGGTAATTGTCATTTCAATGGTGGTTTGTATCTACCTTAATAGCAGCTTATCTCTATCAATGTAATGTATTCATCATCATTATTCTCTCTCACACTTTTTCTAATTATCTACTCTTGCTCAAATCCATTGTTAATTTGTGCATACCACTTCTGCTCTTATTGTGTTGTATCCATTTCTATTAAAAAAAACAAAGAAGCAAACTTATTGCATTAGACTCCCACCATTGTGGGAATTGGGAAGGGTAGGTTATACTCTGTATTGCCTCCTCCCACGTACAAGGTGAACCAATCATACCGCCAAAGTTCACAAAAAAAAAAACCTATAAATCTTATTTTTTACTTGCATATTTACAATTGTTATATTAGATAGTTGGAATCAACTAAAACGTGGAGTTATTCGACTCCAGCTAAATCAAATTAAATAGTTGTTGGATTTATTTAAGTTGTTTATTGAATCTTGATCCACAAATTGTTCAAGCTCCATCTCAACTTAGAAAATAATGCAATAAATGAAAATTTTATTTTATAATTTTATTTAATCACAAATAAAATATTAGAAATAAATATTTTACTTAAACAAGGATTATGTGGCCAAGTTATGAGAAATTACTTTCACACGACCCATGAGAAGTCTCATAACTAGTTATTACGAGAATCGCATAGGCAGCACTAGTACTCTCACACCTAATAAGACTCTCACACAAGAGTGCTAACACCATTAACTTAGAGTTTGGTGCGGCAAGTGAGGCCCTTTTATGGACCTCCTCTAGGATGCATGTCAAAATGTAATTCTCTACCAAAATATTCTAAATATTTTCCTAGATACAAAATTCTGTAATATTCCTCAAACTACTCAATTTGAGTAGTTATTATTTTAATTGTTAATGAATAGAAAAGATAATTCTTGTATATTCAATATGAGAGTGATATCTGATGAGGAAATTTTGGTGACTTCTACAAAATTCAAATAGTGCCAGTCAAAGAACTTTACGAATAGAACAAAATAAAAATGTGTTGACATATAAAAAGATTTAACGAATTAGTGAAATGATTATTTAACAACTAAAACAGAGCCGGCAATTTAACTGGAAAAAACAAATTAAGTAAAATAGAGCAGATAATTAAAGATAAAAATATAACAATTCAAAATATGAAATATTATACTTTGTGGACTGTGCATCCCATTGTCATATATATTCCTCCCCATGAAGCCAAACGACTACTTCATTATTACCATTATTTGCTACAATAAAACTCAATAAATTAATAAAAAATTAATTCCATATAAGTAACTGCAAAATTTAAAATAAAAAATTAGATAATAAAGAATTTCAAACAAAAAATTAAATAATAAAGAAATAATAAAACTTTTCAAACGAATAAAGCATCCTAACAATATCCGCAAAATAATCTCACATTCCACCTGAGTTCCTCTCTCTCTCTCAAACTTAGATTTAAGAAAATTTTAATTTTAAATTTTATTTAAGCATGAAAGATATATTAGAAAACACAATTATTACGTGTTTTTTATTTCTTCCAACCAACCATACAAAAAGAAGAAAGAACAATATTCATTTGTTAATGTTTTATCCACTCCTTATTCTCTCACTTCCTTATAATTTTTTTTTTCCTTCTTGTCACAAGGAGGCAAATCAAAATTTTGTAACTTTTAAACAACATTATTATTATTATTATTAATATTTTTTTCTGTTTTAAACAACATTATTAACAAATATGAGAATGCAATCAATTGTGTGTAGTTCCAGTGGTAATACTCAACTACCATAAAAAAAACAAAACAAGCAACTTTGGAAATATTTGGCCAAAATTAATAAATATTACTGAATACTTTGTATTAATCTTTCGCTTAACAACTAGCTAGCTCAAGATAGTCCAAAGGAGATGTATATTTTATTTTTTTTCCAAGTAAAGTAGATGAACATATTTGACTACAACAATTAACAAACCTTTTTTTTCATCTTATTAAATATCACAAATCACTAAACATATATATACATACCTCATGTGTAAAAGAAGATTAAAATCTCAAGATAGTCAAAAGTAGATGAATATTCTATTTTTTCCAAGTAAAGTAGATTAAAATCAAGTAGATGGATATATATTCCATTTGACTATAACAACAAACCTTTCTTTTTTATCCTAATTTTCAACCTAAAACCTTGGAGCCCAAGCAAAAAAAATAAAATAACACAAATCACTAAACATATACATATACATACATAATGTGTGCGTGTGTATATATATGAGCCTACCAGTTTAGAAAGAAGAACACACTTGCCCACATAAATGGAAGATGTAAAGCTACTAGGAGCATGGCCTAGTGTGTACAGTTACAGAGTGATATGGGCTCTAAAATTAAAGGGAGTGAAATATGAATATGTAGAAGAAGATGTTTGTAACAAGAGTGAGTCTCTTCTGAAATATAATCCAGTACACAAGAAAATAACAGTGCTTGTCCACAAGGGCAAGCCCATTGCAGAGTCCACTATTATTCTGGAGTACATTGAAGAGACATGGCCTCAGAATCCCCTTCTTCCTCAACACCCCTATGAGAAGGCCTTGGCAAGGTTCTGGATCAAGTTTGGAAAGGACAAGGTATTTTCTACAATTTTATGTTATGTTACACAAAATCGATATTCACATAACCTAATTCGCTTAGGGCCTGTTTGGCATGCGCTTTGTTTTAGGCGTTTTGTTTTTGGCTAAAACAGAATTGTTGTAGAAGTGTTTTGAAAAAAAATCGGAAGCGCGTTTAGGAACAATATTTTGCTATGGAAATATCGTAAACAGAAACATGAACAGTTATGATTTTGGGCCATGAATAATTGTCAAAACAAGCAAAAATATTTTTTTGATGTTTTGGTTTTGGGCCACTGTTCATGAAGTGTTTTAGCACTATGTAAAATAAAATAAGGCTGCACCAAACATGATTTTGTTGCCAAAATCGACACTGTAGCAGCCCAAAAACAAAAGCAACAGAAACAAAACGCATGCCAAACGAGGCCTTAGGGCTGGTTTGGAAACTGTTTCCGTTTTATTTTCATCTGAAACAGAAATAATTTTTTTTTTTGGGTTGTGGAGTATGTTTGATAGTGATTGGAAGCATTTTTGGTTAAGTAAAATTTGTTGTAAGATTTTTGGAAGCAAAAATATGAAAATGTGCTTGGTTAAAAAGCGTTTGCAAGTTTGAAAACATTTTTGGTGTTTTCGATTTTGGCCTATTGTTCAGAAATAAGGTACTATTTAAATCGCAACAAAAGTTACCAAATGCATTTCCGTACAACAAAAAAACATGAAACAAAAGTTGTTGGCAAACATGCCTTTATTTGGAGGTCTATTATTATTGTTCTTGTTTTTAATATTATTTGAGTAATTTACTATGATCCTGAGATTGCCTTTTCCGCTGTTGAATTGAGTGACTTTTTTCAATTCAAGTGGCACGTTAGGTTGAATTTTGTTGTTTTTTTTATTTATTTATCCCGACAATTTAGTGGGAGGGACTCGGAGCGGTACAACCTCTCGGAGAGTCGGATACTCTACCTACTAGGCCACTGGAAAATGCCAGGTTAAATTTGGATTTTGTTTGATGCATTTGTGCCCTAGATTGAACTGACCTGAAATGCATAAAATACGAGAATCCACTGTTGTAAAAAAGAAGAATATTTTGCTACATGTCTGAACTTCGTATGTATATATGCCAGCTTCTTCCTAAAAGTTTTCGTTTGACCATGAAAAATTCTAGAAAAACATTCAAAACTCTCCCTAATTGAAGAAGAACAAGTTATTGTGATGCAGAGCCCAGCATTCTATGCTCTGTTTCGAACAGTCGGAGAAGAACAAGTGAAGGCAACAAATGAAGCCAAAGAAGTGCTGAAGATTATGGAAGAGCGGGCCCTGGGAGAGAAGAAGTTCTTCGGCGGCAATGGGATCGGAATGTCTGACCTAGCCTTCGGATGGATAGCCGGCTGGCTCGATGCCATGGGAGAAGCAGATGGTGTAAATCTGTTCGAAACCGGTAGTTTTCCGCGCTTACAGGCTTGGATTAAGAGGTTTAAGGAAGCCCCTGTGATCAAAGACAACCTTCCTGATCGCGATGGAATGTTGGCATATTTCAAAGGCCTAAGGGAAATGTTTACTGCACCAGAAACACCATAGACACCAGCATTGGATTGTGTAGCATTTTGTTCTCTGTATATATATACATTTTATAGAAGTCTATGAATGGAAGAAGCATAATGTATACATGCAAGACAATATAGATTGTAAAATGCAATAATATATATATATATATTAAAGTTCAAGCAAGCGCACGCCCACTCGCAGTATTAACTCTAGTAGGGTTCGAACACTCGATCTCTCTTAGCAGAGAAGAGATCATACCATCTGGACTAATGCTCATTCTACTTGATCTTCCCTTTGAAGAAAAGCGATCATACTATCTGTATTAATGTTCAGTCATTTGACTCAATATTCATAACCATAATACATTGCAAAAATAAAATAAATAATTAATGTGGTTGATTTCAGTCAAGTTTTTCATTTCTTCTTAACTGCGCAGTAAACAACTGTATGTTTCAAAAAAAAAAAAAATTCTCTAATTTATGACAACCAATCAGAGTAGTACTGCTAAATGAAAATTTTAAATTTTAGAAAACTTATCAGAAAATATATATCCTGAATCCTCTAGTCATCCAATGATAGAAAGCTAAAGCTCATAGAGGGAAAGTATCCAAGAAAAGTCATAGTAAATTCCAAGGAACCACAATCACATTCACACACCATAGGTGTTTCTGACCCACCATGAAAAAAGCCATTCAGGTAAGAACAATCTGGTCGAAATCAACACACTTTGGTCTAAATAGGCAGCTAGGAATTGTCAAAAGAATAATATATATATATATATATAAAGATAATTGTCTAGTGAACTTATGGGCTTCCAGCCAAGTTCCAATCATTATATATAATACAGATAGATAGATAGATAGATACAAGTTCATAGCACAGGAATTAGAACATAAAGTAGAACAAAAATGGAAGAAGTGAAGCTATTTGGAGCTTGGCCTAGTCCATACTGTTATCGAATAGTGTGGGCTCTGAATCTAAAGGGTGTGAAATATGAATATATAGAAGAGGATCTTCCTAACAAGAGTGACATGCTTTTACAGTACAACCCAGTTCATAAGAAGGTACCAGTGCTCGTTCATGGCGGAAAGTCAATCTTTGAATCAACCGTCATTCTTGAGTACACGAAGAAACGTGGCCTCAGAATCCATTGCTTCCACAAGACCCTCACGAGAGAGCCATGGCTCGGTTCTGGATGAAGTTTGGGGAAGACAAGGTAATTACTGTAACAAAATATCACGAATCTCTATGTTTATTTTACAATTCTGTACAGACTGTTCTGGCAATCATATCTTTCATTTCAAAACAAATGAGTGTTATTACCAAATGTTTTAGAACTAGATAAGAGAACTTGGATAACAAAGTTTGAAATTTTCTCCTTGTACTACAAGGAAAAGAAGCCTTTTCCTCATCTACTTCGGGTTAGCTACATAAATCCTATGTTTCAATTCCGCTCTATCTAAGGCCATAGCCTAAGTCAAACTACGTGCTATCATATCCGTCTATACTAACTCTACTCACGTTGAACTGTCTAACCATATATTTTGGATTGCATGTAGAGCCCAACTTTTATGGCATTCTTCATAGCTACTGGAGAAGAACAAGAAAAGGCAATACAAGAAGCTAAAGAACAGTTGAAGATCTTAGAAGAGAATGGCCTTGGGGAAAAGAAATTTTTCAATGGCGATAAAATCGGATTGACAGACATTACCTTTGGATGGATGGCTAGCGGGCTGGACGTCATTGAAGAAATAGTAGGTGTGAAATTGCTTGAAGCCAATGCCTTCCATCGCTTCCATGCTTGGATTGAGCGTTTTAGGGGAGTCCCTGGAATCAAAGAGAACCTTCCTGATCGTGACAAAATGTTGGCCTACTACAAGCTCAAATTGGGCATGTTAAATGCATCAGCAAAATCATAAACACTGTCACTGAGTTGTATTCTACAGTTAGATGAGATATATGCATTGAGTTTTTCGTTTTCCTTTCATATTTCACTCATATTCAGGCATTTCTACTTTAGATACATTATACTGGCTTTGAAAGAACTCATTTGTTCTAGTCTCGATGGCTTAATATCTAAATCTAAATTTACTCTGCAACTCTTTTAGCTCTTCTAGGACATGTTTCAACATAAGAAAATGATCTACTGATTCATGTCATGGCATGATCTTAACAAATAAACGACCCCGCTCCGTGTAGACACTGTTTGCTTTGCACACTATCCGCGGTCACGATTTTTAAAACGTGTCTACATAGTTAGAAGGCATCCATAAATATAAGTGCCAACAACCACTCCCCCCAGGCAATGAGGGGAGCATGCACAAGCCCATGAGGGTCAGGCCAAGCGAGTACACTGGGTCTCAAGAGGGGGACTGTAACGTCCCACGTTGTCTAGGAAAGAGAGGTAATTGGCACTTATATATGTATAAGCGCGTTTGAAAACAGTGAGTACGAAGAGTGTGCAAAGCGGACAATATCTATACAGCTGGGCGGATTGTGACAAATTAAAATTCTAGAAAGTTGGAACCTTCTCATTTTTCTAACTAGATACCTGAGGCAGTAGAGTCCAACATTTTAGGTATTCTCTGGATGTGTTTTCCATCAAATGTGAAGGGATCCACACTGTAACAGTTAAAACCTCCAGTAAATTGACCCTGTAGTAGGTCATATCATCCAAACAAACTAATCTCCTCTTTTGCCTGTACTAGCCGCAAGGCAAACCTTCTCCAAACTCCTCCATAGACCTGATACAACCATAATGAAACCACCACAAGCCTCTCCAATCCTCTGAAACAAGGATGAGCACTAAAGGTGCAAGTAAGCCAAAACTGAAACCCGGTCTCCTTCCTCCTACTCAAAATATTACATCTAACTCAACATCGAACAATCATCAGAACAAGCATACAAAACCTTCGAGCCCCTGAATTCAAAACCTAGATGCCTGTAATCCAGAAGGTAGTTGGAACAAAAGGCAGAGAAATGGGAAGTTTGGAAACCATCACCCCTGTTGACACTCTCCAAACCTAGGTGCTCCTTCCTCAACTGCCCTGAGAGACAAAGACCACTGATCACACAACCACCGACGAGGAAATCCTTCCGTTCCCTAATAACTTTACCTAAACCTTAAAGCATAGACAAATTTAGACTACTTTTGTATTCCACCTGAGTCTTGCCACATAGAGTCATGGACCTCCTCATGACAAGTAGCCGCCAAACATAGTATATATTTCATTCTACCCATTTTCCCAACACAACAGAAATAGAAACATATCATCACTTCTAGAAACTATACAAGCGTATATAATTGAAACAGCATTCCATGTTCAACCCATTGTTTCAATAATGTGATTCTAAAGAGAAAGAAGGAGAAGAATCAAAAATAAAATAAAAAGTTTCAAGTGTAGTGCATGTTAACAAACAGCAATGAAGAAGCAAAGTTCAGACACAGAAAGAGATTAGTGAATATGCAAATAAGGAGAAAAGAATATTCGTTCAATCAGAAAAGTTGACAGTACGCTGCATCAAACGATATAGTGAACTCACCATTTTAGTTCCACTGTCAGAGTTGAATACTTAAGCAAACAAACAAGCAAACACTAGTGCAACACTGATAACCAAATAAAAACCAAGAAAATGAAGTTCAAAGTAACTAGAGAGAATGAGAGAGAGAATGATTACTCATATAACAAATAAGAAGCAAATCTTATTCATTCAATCAGTAAATTGACAGTTCTCTACATCCTAGAACAATTCAGTTCCATACAACATTCTTCAGAGTCATATTTGAAGGCTTATGCAAATAAATAAGAAACCAATGTTCACATGCAACAGATGTGTACTGTCAGTAACTTTTTATGAAGCCAATACACAATAACATTGGAGAGAAGCATGAAGATCACTTCTGATACTTTAGAATGAATTAATATCAATAAAAATAATTTTTCTTCTCGATATAGCGAAGAGAGCAGGTCCTTCAACGGATGATAATAAGATCAAACAAGCTAACTCTCTGTCTTTTTGGTGCTAGCTTCTGACAGCAAAGATTCAAGTTCCCCTTTCCGGTGTAGCTTAACAGTATCTGCATCAAATAAACAACACTAAAATTCAAAATCTCAAAGGTAATCCCTTTTTTTTGATAAGTAAGAACTCATTAAAGGCGCTTGGAAGGGGAGCACTCGCAAGAGAAAACAAGACAATATTATATGTAAAGAACTCAAAGGTAATCCCTTTACCCTCCATTTTCAAAAATTCATTTTTTTTTTTTAATTTTTTTTATTTTATAAATCAAGGTAGATTTCAGTAATTCTATAAGTAACAAAATCTTCTACAAGTGACTTGACCAAATTGCCAAGCACCCAGGCAAGTAAACTTGAGACAATCGCAAGGCTAAATTTCTCATAATTAAAAGTTAAAACTACTAGTATGGTGAATAGGTTGGGAAGCCAGTAGACTGTGAAAGGTGATGACAAAATTCAACAAGGAGAATCAGAGGGAAAAAAAACTATAACAATGATTAAAGAACACATGAAGTTTTTGTCACTCATGCAGTATCATGAGAATCACTTTTAAAATTTGTCATAGAATTGTGAGGCACATACTTAACAAAATAAATAAATGTGAGGCACGGCCTTAAAAGTAAGGCTGCACATAATTGAGGACCATTTAAACATAAAAGTTCTGTTATAGCACAGGTATCATGAGAAAACAAAACAGTTAAACAAGGTACCTGTACAACCACCGATGTGCTTGCCCCCTAATCAAGGTAAAAATATATATATTAGCAGTCATTCTCACTATAAATCAAGTAAAATAAATTTAAGAATATTATGACATATAGAAAAGAGATTTAGCGTCTGATACAACAATAACATATACTAAACTAGAATCTAGTTACTCTCCCTTTATCGAAGGAATAGTTAGTCAAAGCATCATCCTCCAGCAGCATAATATTGCTATGTTAGCACCCATTACTTTTGCAGTGGTGATTATTTTGTTTTGAAGCATTTTATCACTGAAATTTCAACTGGTATGCACAATGATTTACACACACAATGGCCACAGCGACTGCATTCTTTTTGTAACGAGAAACTTTGTGAAAGAGAAGGGATATGTCGAGGAGGAAGGCCAAGGACTTCTTCACAAATACAATAATGGAACATAAAAAGAAGGAAAAGAGAACATTCCGTGACCAAATAAGATACCAACACCGTCAAGTAAGGTGGACATGAACCCTAAATTCTAGAAGAATAACTACACCTATTTAGTAATAGATTCAATTCAAAATAAGATACCAACACCATCAAGTGGGATGGACATGAACCCTAAATTATAGAAGAGTAACTACACCTCAATTAGCAATAGAGTCAATTCACAATTGATCACTCAGTGACCAAAGAAATATTGCCTCCAAAAATAGGATCTAGATCCGAGATTTCTCAAATGAGATGGAAGAACACTACATCCTTCATCCATCCAATGAGAGCAACTGCATAATTTAAAGTCATCTCTTTCACTGTTAAAAAAAATTTGAGTCCATTAGACAGTCATGGCAATTAAAAAATAATTGTCCTGCTTTTTGTTGTATTTAATTAAAAAAAAAAACAAAAAAAACAGCCTCTGAAGGTAGCCCCTGAACTAGTCTCTTCATTTCTTTCTCGTTGTGATCAGTTCTGATTGCTTTATCATCTATACTTATATGATTTATTTGTATCAATAAAATGAAAACACATTCAGGGAAAAAAAAAAAGAAAAAGAAAAGGAAAAAAAAAGACAGATTCTTTAAAGGTCACCAAGGTATTACCCACTTTTAGAGGGGAAGCTTGAAAAAGAAAAGAAATGACTCCTTTTATGGTGATCTATAGATCCAGGTGATCATAAAACTTAGTAATTACAAGATAAAATTGCATACTTTAAACAAGAAATACCAAAACCACCAAGGTTCCATAGAATGGGAATGATCACACTAGGCACACCAGTTTCTAGTTGACCCTTATTTCGAAAGCGGTAACCATAAAAAATCAATAAAGTAATTAACTGGTCCTTTTCCAAGGTGGTAAAACTAAACTAAACTAGAACCAAAAGACCAGTCCAGAAAGAGGGGTTACATTGGACCAGCCATATGTCACAATTGTTTTTCTGACTCTGATTCTAGAGATCACCTCTTCTGGTGCTGCCCATATGCCAAAGAGGTGTGGAACTGGTTCATGCAAACTTGTCACTGGGAAGAGATTATTCTGTATCATCATTTCTCTGACGTGCTGAATTGGTTCATTGAAGATACCAAAGGTCAGTCCTTGAAAAGCACTCTTATGAAAAGCCTATTCACTTCAATCCTTTGGAGCTTACGGAATGAAAGAAACAAAAGATTCCATGGTGGAGATGATGGAGGTGCTCACAGTCCACACAAGGTGGCCATGGACGCTTGTCATGAGAGTCTATTTTCTGCTGGTCTAACTATTTCAGATTTAGACCTTATTTTTTTATGTTAGCTTGTATCTTTTGTGTCACTGTCCTTCTGGACTGGTCTTTTGGTTCTAGGGCATGCCACTTCCATTTTTGTTTTCTATTTCTCTTAAGTGATCCTCTCTGATGATCACTGTTCTATTTTTGTACTGTTAGAATGTTTATATATATATATATACACACACACACACACACTTATGTTGGGTCATTATGTAATTACATATAGTTGGTAGGGCCATTGTGTTATTAGGTTAGTCTTGTATCTTTATATAAGCCTATGTAGGCTTAGGGTTAAGGATGATATGAAATACACAAAGTCTGCACTCTCTCTCTCTCTCTCTCTCTCTCATGATTTTGAACATGGTATCAGAGCAATACGAATTCATGGGTGGGAAACTGTAATTGTGTTGTTCTTGTATAAGATCAGAATCGCGATTGTGGTGTTGGTGTCTCTGCCTCATTCGTCGTTGCCGGTAAGATTAAGAGCTCCTCGTTCGTCGTTGTCAAATCTGAAGCCTCGTTCATCATCGTCATTGCCGCTTTGGTTGTCAGCGAGCTCGCCCACATCTACCGTCTTTATTTGCAGAGGTGAGGTTCATCGATTCGTGGTTCTTTTTGGCCGGAAGTTGCAGAGGTTCTGATTCAGTGTGGTCACTGCTTATTGATTCGGCCGTTGCTTGTGACTGGGTCGCCGTTGCCTCCACTGTGTTATTCCCCAGCGTCTATGAAGTTGTGAAGAAGAAGAACCGTGTTTGGCTACACGGTTATGCTATTCTAACCCTAGTTTACTAAAACCGAGATAGCTATTCCAATCCTGGTTTACTAAAACTGGGATAGCAGGGACCCGACCCGTTTGCCCAGATCTGGCCAGAATACAGATTCTGCATTTTTTTTGTTTTGGTGGGTTCAACGTGGCGTCCAATTCAGATTTGCTTTCTCCCACATAAAGTTTTAATTCTCCTATGACTTCTGTTAAACTCAATGGGAAGAATTACATATTATGGGCTAAATCTGTTGCAATTTTCTCAAAGGTAAAGGTCTTGGTAGTCATCTGACTAAAGATAAAATAAATGAAACTGATGCTTCTTTTGATGCATGGGAAAAGGAAGATGCTCAGATCATCTCTGTGATGTTAACCAGTATTGAACCCCAAATCAGTTCAACATCACTTTATTTGGATACTGCCAAGGAGATATGGGAGAGGTTGAAGCAATTGTATTATGGGACAGGTAATATCACCCCGTGATTATGAGCTCTGTAAGCAGTACTTCAATCGTGAACAGGGTAATCACAGTATAGAAGAGTATTATTCAAAAGTTATGGGAGTTTGTGAGGAGTTGAATATGTATCAACCCATTGCTTCTGATGTTCGAAGTATGCAACAACAACGCAAGGACTTTAATGTTGTCTGTTTTCTTACTGGTTTGTCGCCAGCATATGAGCCTATTCGTGCACAAATTATGGGCAATCCCACACTTCCATCTCTTGCTGATGTGTTTTCTTGACTTCAGCAAGCTACACTTGCAAGTGGCACCTCAAATTTGAATAATGGGCAGAGTGGTGAGTGTTCAGCATTGGTAGTTTCAAAGGGTGAACATAATGCTTATCGTGGAGGTCGTGGGGGACACTCCACACGTGGTGGTCGTGATTCGCAAGGAGGACATGGCCGTGGCAGGGAATCATGAAAATGTACTCATTGTGGCCTTTCTAATCATACTGTGAATTTTTGTTGGGACCTTCATGGCAAACCATCTAGTTATACAAATCAAGTTTCCTCTAAAAATGATGTTTCTTCTGGATCTCACCACGGAGCTGAATCAGATACGGTCCCTGTTCCACGTGATGAGTATCCTCAGTTTTTGTCTTATCAGCAAGCATCTAATCCATCTTCCACGGCTACTTTTGCCCAGTCAGGTATTACACCCACATGTCTGTTGTCTTCCACTCGCAGTCCTTGGATCATAGACACTGGAGCATCCGATCATATGACTGGATGTTCTTCTCTTCTATCTGACTTTAATTATGTACCTCCTTCTCAAAGTGTTACTCTTGCTAATGGTTCATCCACTAAGGTTTCAGGTTTGGGGACAACTCAACTTAGTGATTCATTGTCTTTCTCGTCTGTTTTATATATTCCTCAGTTTCCCTTTAATTTAATGTCTATCAGTAAGCTTACTAAATCTCTCCAATGCTTTGTTACATTTTATCCTACTTCTTGTGGTTTCAGGATCTCAAGACGAAAAAGAAGATTGGTACGGGGCATGAAGCTGGTGGCTTATATTACTTTGATATTGCACCTTATCCTATGGCTCTTCAATCTTCTCTGTCTCCATTCCAGTGGCACTGTCGTCTTGGTCACTCGTCACTTCAAGTTTTGCAGCGTTAAGTTCCTAGTCTTAGTCATTTGAAGTCCTTATCATGTGAAGTTTGTCAACTTAGCAAGCATCATTGCGTGTCTTTCAAGTCTAGGGTTAATAATCGTGTCTCTAGTCCTTTTCATTTGGTTCATTCAGATGTATAGGGTCCAATAAAGTATTCTTCAATCAATAAATTTCATTATTTTGTGACATTTGTGGATGATTATTCTCGCTTGACTTGGTTGTTTCTAATGAAAAATCGTTCCGAGTTATTTTTAATTTTTCAAAAATTTCGAAAAGAAATCAAAACTCAGTTTGGATGTCCAATTCATGTTCTACGTTCTGATAATGCTAAGGAATATTCTTCAGCCCCCTTTGATACATATCTTAGTGATAAAGGAATTATTCATCAAAATTCATGTGTTTATACTCCTCAACAAAATGGAGTTGCAGAACGTAAGAATCGACACCTATTAGAAGTAACTCGTGCTCTTTTGTTTCACATGCATATGCCTAAACGTTTTTGGGGTGATGCTGTTCTTACTGCCTGTCATCTTATTAACTGTATGCCGTCCTCTGTATTAAATGGTAAATCTCCACATTCTATTTTATTTCCTGATTCTCCTTTGTTTTCTCTTACTCCTAGAGTTTTTGGATGTGTATGTTATGTCCACAATCTTGGTCTTGGTTTTGATAAACTAGACCCACGTGTCACAAAGTGTGTATTTCTTGGATACTCTCATTCTCATAAAGGTTGTCGCTGCTGTCATGCGTCCTCAATCATCTTCAGAGTCTTTGGATCTAACACCATCCGCTGTGTCTGATTCCTTGCCTATTGCACTTCGTAAAGGTACTCGATCTTGTGTCACTAATCATCCCATTGCTCATTATATCTCTTATAATTCCTTATCGCCATCCTTTTCTTGTTTTTCAT